TTCGGTCGAGAAGTGGGGGCGACTGGGCCTCCGCCATAACCGCTACAGCATGATCGCTGAGCGGAGGGGTTTCTTCTTTGTTGACAAGAAAGACAAGACGCTCCGGCCGTGTATTGATTACCGCGGCCTCAACAAGATCACTGTAAAGAACAAGTACCCTCTTCCCCTCCTGAATTCAGCTTTCGAGCTACTCCAGGGGGCCACGGTGTTCAGCAAACTAGACCTGCGAAACGCTTACCACCTGGTGAGAATCCGGGAAGGAGATGAGTGGAAGACCGCTTTCAACACCATATTGGACACTTCGAGTATCTCGTCATGCCCTTTGGCTTAACCAATGCGCCCGCGGTCTTCCAGGCCCTGTTAACGATGTTCTGAGGGATTTTATTAATCGATGTGCTTTTGTGTACCTTGATGATATTCTCATTTTCTCTAAGTCCCAGGCGGAGCACGAGAGTCACGTGAGGCAGGTCCTGCAGCGCCTCCTGGAGAACCGGTTGTTCGTGAAAGCGGAGAAATGTGAATTTCACGTTGACACGGTGGCCTTCCTTGGCTATATCATCTCTCGGGGGGATCTCAAACCTGACCCCGAGAAGGTCCGGGCCGTGGTGGACTGGCCTCAACCGCCGAACCGCCAGCAACTCCAACGGTTCCTAGGATTTGCCAACTTCCACCGACGCTTCATAAAGGACTACAGTAAGATTGCCTCACCTCTCACCGCACTTACCTCCCCCAAAGTTCCTTTTCAGTGGGACTTCTCTGCTCAGGAGGCCTTTTCCCTACTAAAGGAGAAGTTCACTAACGCCCCCATTCTCTGTCAGCCCAACCTCAGGCAACCGTTCGTGGTGGAGGTGGATGCTTCGGACTCTGGAGTGGGAGCAGTTCTGTCACAGCGATTCGAAGGTACGCTCCATCCCTGTGCGTTCTTTTCTCGTCGTCTCTCACCCGCAGAACAGAACTACGGCATCGGTGATTGGGAGTTGCTAGTGGTCAAACTGGCCCTGGAGGAGTGGAGGCACTGGCTTGAGGGCGCGGATTACCCGTTCATCGTGTGGACCGACCATAAGAACCTTGAGTACATCCGGTCTGCCAAACGCCTAAATTCACGGCAAGCCAGGTGGGCCCTCTTCTTCACAAGATTCAATTTCTCCATCACTTACAGACCAGGGTCGCGCAACGTGAAGCCCGATGCACTGTCCCGTCAGTTTTCCAGTACGGAGGGGGACTCCGATCCTGAACTGATTCTTCCAGCTACTTGTGTTATTGGAGCTGTCACATGGGAGATCGCAGCTCTCGTGCGTAAGGCCCAGGATACTGACCCCGACCCGGGCCCCCCTGGTCGGTTGTTTGTCCCTGCTGCTGTCTGACCCCAGGTGCTCCACTGGGGCCACATTGCCTGGTTCACCTGTCATCCAGGAGCCCGCCGCACCATCACCTTCCTCCAGCGTTTTTTCTGGTGGCCCTCCTTGGACAAGGATGCCAGGGAGTACGTTATGGCATGCACCACATGTGCCCGGAACAAACGTTCCAACCAACCACCCGCCGGGCTTCTTCAACCGCTCCCCACGCCAGGACGGCACTGGTCCCATATAGCGCTGGACTTCATTATGGGGCTCCCACCGTCATCAGGTAACGCCACCATCCTCACTATCGTTGATCGTTTTTCTAAGGCAGCTCATTTCATCGCCCTCCCGAAGCTCCCTACAGCCCTGGAGACCACCCAGCTGCACCGGATCCCTGCACCGCACCTGCCTATACGGTTGGGCAACAGGTATGGCTCTCCTCACGCTTCGTTCCCATTCATGCTGAGTCGAAGAAACTTTCCCCGGCGTTCATCGGTCCGTTCGAGATCGAGGCCCTGGTCAATCCGGTGTCTGTCCGTCTGAAGCTGCCTCGCAACATGCGTATCCATAATGTTTTCCATGTCTCCCAGGTCAAACCCGTGCTCTCCAGCCCGTTGTGCCCTCCTTCCAGGCCCCTTCCGCCCGCCCGGCTCGTGGATGGGCAGGAACATCACCCGCATTATGGGACCGTGGCTCAGGGGGTTGGGAATCGCATCTGTAACCGGAAGGTCGCCGGTTCGATCCCTGGGCTCTCTGTCCTGGTCGTTGTGTCCTTGGGCAAGACACTTTACCCTACTTGCCTACTGGTGTTGGCCAGAGGGGCCGATGGCGCGATATGGCAGCCTCGCTTCTGTCAGTCTGCCCCAGGGCAGCTGTGGCTACAACTGTAGCTGCCTCCACCAGTGTGTGAATGTGAGAGTGAATGAATAGTGGCATTGTAAAGCGCTTTGGGTGCCTTGAAAAGCGCTATATAAATCCAATCCATTATTATTATTATTATGGACTCTCGGCGGCGGGGGCGGGGCGTCCAGTACCTGGTGGACTGGGAGGGCTACGGGCCAGAGGAACGTTCCTGGGTGCCCCGGTCGGCGGTTCTGGCTCCTGGTCTGCTCCGCGAGTTTCACCGGCGGCATCCGGGTAAGCCGGGTGGGTCGCCGAGGGGCTCCCGTTGAGGGGGGGTACTGTCATGACCCTGTGCCTTCTCGGCTGACTCTGTATGGCTACAAGTGTTTTTGTTGTGCTGCGTCTCTCTCTCTCTCCCCTCCCCTCCTTCAGTGAAGGATTGTGTACATAGCCCGTCCCCTTCCCGTGCCTGTGTTCCCCGGAGACCCTCTTCCTGTGCCCCCTCACCTGTATATATCCGCACCTGGTGTCTGTGTGTAAATAAATTGTGAACTCAAGTGACGGTCTGCCTCCGAGTCTCTCCTGAGCCTGACAGAGATAAACGAGGGACAGCTGAGAAATATAACATTTGAATCCCTTTTCTCTTTTGCTCTGAGGCACGGGGAAAAATATTGACAAGTCGATGAACATCATTTACAGATATATTGGGTAAATGCCCAAGACATCTATAGAAATGTAAATCGCCGCTTGATTCATTCATTTGCTTAACTTGTTTTGGACCGTAAACAGGGCGTGAATAGGACACCGGAAACAAAGCTCCTCACGGGAGTTTCCGCACCGGAAGTAGCATATGCTAACGTGCACATAGTCAATTTAGTATACAGAACTGTTTTCCTAGCAAAACCACTGTTATAATTAAGTGAAGGTGCTCCCATCTAATTTGAACCTTTGGCCTCTAAAATATGTGGTTCAATTGCGTGCTGCGTACATAACGTAATGTCAGCTAGACCGAAATTAAAATTTATTATATTGTTAAAGTCATTAAAATGGCGCCTGAAGCTTGTTGTGATGTGAATTGTGTGTCTGCTCTAGAAACTCAGAAATTCAGTAGTGTGGAGCCGTACGTTAAATACTCACATCAGCCTGTACTTTGAATTCTGTAAGAGCTGTATAAAATACAGCTATGCATAGGTGTTTTGAATGAATAGAAATGTGACACATGAGAAGGTGTGTCTTTGACTGTTCCTGTATAACTTCTTTTTGGACTAGTTAACAAGTTATGCTCCAGTCATTTGATGTTACCAAGATGCATGTCCTTTTGTAATATAGTTACATTTTCTTTGTACATTTAATTTATCCACCATCATACATTAAGCCAAGAAGAGGTCATTATACTAACAAGAGGTATCAACACTGGGCCAAAGTTCAGCACGTGGTTAAAGTTTGTAATCCAGCCGGGGTGTAGATATGACTCAGCAGCCAGTCGTAGAGCTGAAGCAGGCAGCATCAACACATAAATCTACTCTACCCGGCTTAAATCACAAGACCACCTCTGACCAAAAGGCTGTAGATTTTTCTTGTTTGCACAAATTAATTCAGATTTGCACTAATTCTTTTCACAGCTCCAACAAAATGAGGAAGAGGAGGGGGAGGAAAAACAATTAGATTGAATTACAAATGTATGGAAGTCGAGGACAAGGAGAAGGAAGCTTAGGATGAGGAGGAAGAGAAGCAGCAGGAGCATCTTTAGTGATCTCTATGATGTCATTGAGGTTTGTTTCATTAATATGGTCCTCTCACAAAAAAGATGACTTGTTTTAGTTAACCTACTTCCTGTATTAAATAGTGATTTGCAAAACGTGGAAAACCACAGAGCAGGCGCATATAGTGCATCTGCAGGTAAATGAACATCAAATCTCTCAGACTAAAATCTGTATTATACTTTTAGTCTTATCCCCCTTGTGATAAAACCCATGTCAGCCATTGGTTTATGGACTTTGTATTTTGAAGCCTCAACATTTGTTTTATTGCTATTGTTATGTTGATTTTTGTTAGCCTTTTGGGCCCATATTAGGATGAGGGATCAGAATCTTTAGCGTGTATCCATAAGATTTGTACAGCAGATCCAAGTTGTGCCTTGAAAACAGGAACGTTGTCTGCATAGAGGAGAACTTTAATAGCAGGCTTGTACAAAGTGAGGCTGTGGGGCGATTGTGGCTCAAGAATTGGGTGTTCGTCTTGTAATCGGAAGGTTGCCGGTTCGAGTCTTGGTCGTTGTGTCCTTGGGCAAGACACTTCGCCTACTGGTGGTGGTCAGAGGGCCCGGTGGCACCAGTGTCCGGCAGCCTCGCCTCTGTCAGTGCGCCCCAGGGCGGCTGTGGCTACAATGTAGCTTGCCATCACCAGTGTGTGAATGTGTGTGTGAATGGGTGGATGACTGGATGTGTGAAGCGCTTTGGGGTCCTTAGGGACTAGTAAAGCGCTATACAAATACAGGCCATTTACCATTTGTGCTCACATTTGCTGCAAACACTCGTTTTAATTCTGTTACCCTGTTTTGATGCAGAATTCAGTTAAAATCAGGCACTTTCTTTTATAATGTGTTCTTGTGAATTGATTGTGTATCGCACACATTTGATTTGACTTTCCGCGAGACAACAGTCGTCCGCTGGCCAAAAACGTTTTCCAAATACCTCCACGTGATCAAGCCTGGATTTAGAAAAGAATCTGCACCTCCTGCTTCACATGCAATTTGTGTTTGTGTGTTCAGAGGTGGCAGTGAGAGGGGAGACCTCGGGTCACCCAGCTGGAGAGCCTGACCAGGAGGAGTCGAACATTAACTATGCTCTTCCAGGGCACCCTGCAGACTCTGCTGCTGGGAACAGCGAGGGAGTGCGGCTGCTGCTGGGATGACGTGAACGCCAAACAGGAGTCCATCACAGGTCGACTGCAGGTATGCGAGTCAGACCTTCTGAGGAGGGTTTCGGTTTTCTCTCTTCTTTATAATTGACCCTTGTTTTCTCTATCTCAGCTCCTTGTCTCAGAGTGGGAGGGATTTGGAGCACAAAGGGAGGAGCTTGTCATTTGGTTGGCTGATATGGATGTCCACCTGAGTGAGGTTGACCAGCTGACAGGAAACACCTGTGAAAAACTGAAACAACTGCAGGTGTGTGGTTGTTTTGATATGACATATATTTAATATGAGACATTGTCCTAAACTGGACTAACAAAAGACAATGAGTCCAACATGAAACTTGTCTTACATAACGCTGAAGTTCATTAATCATTTTAATCATAAACTCGTTGAAATATTTTTACTGAACATGCAAACATCTGCTGATGAAAATGTGTTGATTTATTGGTCCGTTATGATGCTATTGCTATTTCTAATGTTGTTATCACTTTCTGATGTTTTATTAATTAAACAATACATGTTGTGTTGTCTATAGATATAGTATTTATATATATATATATATATATATTTAAAGTATAGTAAAAAAATAATTATTAGTGTTTAAATGACTAATATGTGACATGTATTAGTAGTGATGTTGTGCTGAGGGTTAAACTGCCCTTTTGTCTTATGGTATACTACGAAATGGCAATAAACCATTAATATATGTCTATGCTGTACTCGTATTTATTTTACCCTACTGAAATTACATTTTATTTTGAAAGATTTAAAATGGTTCTTAAAAGAACCATTTTAAAAAAGGTTCTTTGAAAAACCTATAAAGGTGCCCCAAAGAACCATTTCTTCATGGTTGTTTGGGGCACCTTTATAGGTTCTTCAATGAACCACTGAAAGAAATAGTTCTTCAAAGAACCATTGTTTGAAAGGTTCTTTGTGGCACCAAAAAAGGTTCTTCTATGGCATCAGTCTAAAGAACCACTTTTGGTTCCAGTTGGCACCTTTATTTTTCTGACCTCCAAACTCCAAAATTTAGATTATCAGAAATGTATACCTCTGACATATAATTTATATGAGATATTTAACTCACAGTGTAGTACTAACTATGCAAACAATAAATTAATCAGCAAATATAATGAATATACCAATAGCCAAGTTTTGCTGGGTTAAGGGAACACTAAGAGGAAGGCTCACCACATATGTGTTGACAGTTATTGGAAATTTCTTGTGAGAAAAGGCACTTCTAGAAAAACAAGCGTTTAAATCAAAACCTGAAACTGTCAGTTCATCCTTTTGTTTTCATCCAATACCTGCATGCAAATTTAAATGTAGTGTTTTCTTACTCTCCTCCTGTTTTATTGCTTACCGTGTTTTTCTTGATACTCAATAAACCATCTTGAGAAACCAGTAAGCATATTTTTAAGGTTAGAATCTAAATTTAATCGAAGTTAAAAGCCCCTTTTTTTTTTATCAGAAAAGAACAAAAGATTGAAGTTTTGGAAGGGGATCATTCAGAGGAAATTGTAGGCTAACATCAGAAGGGCCAGCCTTTCCTGAAAAGGAAAAAGTATATTTTAGATGGAAACAAATCTGCAAATTATTCAAGGTGATGAGTGATAGATATTAGAATAAAAAAGCACTAAAACGGTTATGTGCTACCTTGTGTCAAAGGATAATTTTTAGAGATAGTCATTTGGCTGTGAGTGTTTCAGTACATGCATGTGTCTGTATTTGTAGGTTTGTGCATTAGTTTCCAACCTAGCCTTCTGGCCTCATGGTGGCAGGGACAGGTGTTCTAGAACAAAGATATGGTTACGTTTCTACACACAACGAATCACCGAAGAAAAAGAAAGCATATACAAAGTGATGGAGAATTGGAATGAATTTCTTTCATTCTTTTTTTTTCCTTTTGGCTTCATTTTTCTTTATTCCTCTGTCCTATCGATCCAAGGCTCCCCTACCTCTTTGTCTTTCACCCTCTTTCATCAGATGATTCTGTTTCACATGCGTTGGTTTCACTCAGAGCACCCGTTAACTGCTAACCTTCATACTCTAACTCTACAGATCCATCATCACACTGGGTATGTGTGAGCATATAGAATAAGTGCTTACAGTAGATTTTTTCAAAGACAGTCATGTTGTTATAAACCACTTGGTGGCACTGTGGTACTGGAGCCAGACAATAGTCATTTTTTTCTGTATTACAAATTTTTGCTGTCTTAATGAAGGTCCACAAAATTAATGTAAGCTGTGAGAGAGACAGGAAGAGCAAGTGTGTGAAGAAGGCAGGGAATCTGAGTTGGGAGATGGATAACTAAAAGTGGAATAGGGAAGCTCTGGCATGGTGAGATCTGTTGTATCCACAGCCATGCATAGAGAGCAGGGATAGGGGAGAGATGAGGCATTTTGCATCATAGCTTAAGCCTCATTTCTATGCCTAAACCCTGCTACCTCTTTTACAATACAAGGGATGCTGAGATGTGGGGTGATATAACATAACAGCAGTACATAACCATGACTACCCGCTTTCAAAATGTCAAGTCTCTAATATGAGCATGCACTAAAACTCCTTTTTATGGCAGATATTGCAGATTTTCAGATGCAGTACCCTGCAATTAACTGTCATTCCCTCTGTCTCAATTCCAAAGAGATGAAAATGGTGATAATCATTCTCCATTAATACTTATCGCATTCGTGATCAGTGAGCAAGATTTCATGAAAAAGAAGAAGCTCAAATTAAAGTTTTGGTTTTTTAGTCTTTATTTATCTATGGAAAGTTGAGCAAGTAAGACAGTGTTTCTGTTCGTAAAAGCTGCCAGAGTGTACAGCTCACATAGCATTTTCCAACACTTATCCATTATCTCTAAATAGCCACAGTATATAGGTAATGCTGCAATTTCAGTTGCTTCAATAGATCCAGTTTTCATTGTTGTAGGTATGAAAACTGTGTGTCTTAAAACACTGTGTGGTGCCATCCTTTACATCACTACTTAGATGTAATCAGAAATAAATGTATCAAATATGATAAAGCTGTGTTGGGCTATCAGTAGAACTTGCTATTTCAGATCATTTGTGCAGGCAATGCTTAATTGTTGTACATGTCAATAGACATGTAGTATTCATATAAATATATTATAGATTATATTAAAGCTGTGGAACAAAAAGTATGAACTAAAAGACAACAACACCTTTTGTAGATTTAATTGAATACTTTGGTGATCATCTTATGTGGGCGTTTCACCAGTGACACCCTCTCGGAAAATAGAGTACTGTAATTGTCAGGCTATAAGCCGCTACTTTTTGCACAAGCTTTGAACCGTGTGGCTTTTAGTCAGGTGCGGCTTTTCTATGGATTGTCCATGATTTTTGTGATATCGTAAGATGATTTGTTTTGTTTGTTCCGCTGTTGTACGGCACTACGTTGCCTGGCGGAAGGGCATGTGATCAGACACACAGTATCGGGGTTCAAGAGTGGTATGTTGGTCACATATCCGTCCGCCAGGCAACGTAGTGCCGTACAAAGTAGCGCGAAAACAAACTTTAAAGTAGCGCTACGTGTTCAGCGGAACGCGTGGATGATGAGCGGCGATAAACTTGCAAAAATCAAGTTATGCTCAACTCCACCAGTGGATTCTGACAGCGTGGAAAAGTGTGAAAACATCCATGATCACCAACGGATTTCGAAGGGCTGGACTGCTGCATGATGGAGAGGAGGACACCGCCACGGCCCTTCTGAGGGTGTTCGACTCTGACACTGACAACGAGGATTTCTTTGGTTTTGAAAGTGACAACGAAGGAGAGAAGCGGAGAGTGGATGACGAAGCCATCCTGAGCCTGTTCGTTTCCGACACTGGAGAAGAGGACTTTGGTGGTTTTAGTGCGCAGAGAAAGATGGTGGTGAATGACTGACTTTTCTATCGTTAAGTCTGACGTCACTAGCCGTGTCTGGGCCTAAACTCCGCTGCAGGTCCATATATCAAACGATCACTATGGCATTACTGAGAGTTGAAAAACTGTCTAAAGTCTTTCATCTTTAATAAAATGATCAGCGTTCTGCTCTACCAGGTGTAACAATTGAGTTTAACATCCAGGCATCCATGAAAACGGAATTTATGACATTTAACGGAGTTAGAAGTTAGCAGGAAGTTAGCTCGCTAGCTTCTATCTAAATACAATATAGCATGTCCTGACTGCGGGGTTTTGGAAACAAATTAAAACGTACAGCTCTGTATCACTTCCACATAAATGAAGACAGAAAACTAAACAGCAGTGACTGTCAGGGTTCCTGGGTCGTTGACCCAGTGATTTCAGTTTGTTCATGTTCAGTTTAGTTCGCCACATTAATGCTCTCACTTCCTGTTTTTTCCCCGTGTCAGCTTGTCTCTCGTGTCATTAGTCAGATTATGTTCAGCCCTGTACTCACCTGTTTCCAATCATTGAATCATTGTCATCATTCAACCTGTGTATTTAAGTTCCTCGGTTTCACCAGTTCTTGTCGTGTCATTGATGTTCATGTCATCTCTCTGTATGTATGTTCAGTCAGTCAGTCAGCCAGCCAGCCAGCCAGCCAGCCATTCATCCATTCATCCATCCAGTCTTCCAGTCTTCCAGCCAGCCAGTCAGTCCTTTGTTCCTGCTTTGTTCATTCACCCGCTCCAATAAATCGTCATCATTTCTACACCGTGAGTCCTGCGTTTGGGTCATCTCTTCCACGCCTCCACACACAACCCCTGACAGTGACGTTTGTAGGGTTACTGAAGTTTGGCTAGCTGGTATATAATGATGTGCTACGTGACCGCTAGCGACACAGCTATGTTAGCATAATATAAACAAGCTAACTTTTTTTCCACTCGATAAAAGTTAACGTGAGTGTTCTCGGTGGTCAGGAACAAATGTAATCGCATGGCAGGATGCTGTAAAAGGACCAAACTTCAGCCAGGAGAACAACTGAGATAATCCATCCACAATACGAGGTTAGTCATTCATATACTGCTGCATGGGCTGGGCTGTAGTTACATCCTAAGGTTTTTAAAAACTGAGCTTAAATAAATGATTCGCGGTAATAAAAGCTGAGAGAGGTCAACTGTGATCACTGACTGTTTTAGGAGCTTTTTGAGATTAAATAGAAGAAAATACAAAACATTAAACATGTTAACAACACAAAAGCCATATTAAACGCAGACTACTTTAGGATTCGTCACGTCATCACTTAACGACCGGTTTCTTCTTGTTAAAGCCGTGTCACTGCACCTGAGCCTAAAAGGTAGGCCGAATCTATTTTTCTGGTGTGCTGTAGGTTATTGTTATGTACTACATCTGTTACTCGTTTATGAAGCCCAGTACATGTTTTGTACTTGTAATTACCGGTACTTGTACATATAC